ACCAGGCTCCGGGCAGCCTGAACCCCGAGTTTGTGGGGGGCTGGGGGGCGCGGGGCCACTGGGCGCTGGGGACGAGCTGCCCGCAGTCTAGGGCTCACCGCACGCGCATCCTCATCGTCCTCACGGGTGAGAAAGGAGCTCCGGGAGAGCTCTGCCTGGGCTGCTTCCAGGCCCCTTTGTGCTCAGCCGCGCCCCTCTTCCTGCCGGCCGCGGCCTTCCAGGAATCCTGCCCCCGTGTCATTCTGCCCGCCTGGGCTCCTGTGGGTCTCGCTGCCGGCCCGGGTCTACCTCCGTGCAGGCTGCTCCCAGCACGGGCTGGCAGACAAGACCTCCCCCCCCCACCCCCTCCCTCCCAATGGCCCTCCCGCCCTTCCTGAGCAGAGGGCCTGTCCCCTCTTGAGGTGAGGCCCAGAAGGTGGCTATAGGGGTGGTGACATGAGCCTGCTGGTCCAGGGTCACCTTGACTGTAGTTGAGGAAGGCGGGCAGCATCAGGTGATAGTTTAGGAATCACGCCCTCTCCCCAGCAAGAAGGGTGGGCAGGGCTGGGGCAGGGGCTGTTGCACTAGGGTCTAAGACGCTGAGCCCAGTCCCCGGGGAGGTAGCTGAGTTGCCTGTCCCTGGAGAGTGGTCCTGTTTTGGGCAAGAGCCCCTCCCAACTCAAGATGCCAAGGTTCCCAGGTGTTGGGCAAGCCCCAGTCCTCTGTGGGGCTCAGGGAACCAGGCGGGGGGCCTGCTTGGTGTGGGTTGGGGACATGGGTGCTGTGAGGCAGGGGCAGGGGAAGGGGGTGCTGTGTCTCTGGTGTCCTTTCCAGGGTCCTGGCCCCTGGGATTTGGCCCACCAGCCCATGAAGGGGGGCTCCCTGGGCTGAGGTGGAGTCTGGGGTCAAGGTCTGCAAGAGTCGGCAGGTGTGGCCAGCAGGGCCCAGCCTCCTTGTCCGGCTCCTGGCCCGATCTTCCACTCCTTGACATTCACAAAGGCACAGCACTGGAGCGGCGAGCGCCGTGGTGACAGCTTATTGAGAGATTTCCCATGGCTTTGATGACTTTCATTTCATTACCCTAATTAGGCAGGAGCTGTAATGGAGTGGGGCTGTCACGGGGGCTGGGAAGGACCTGGGGCGTGTTCGCCATCACATTAGCCTTGATCGGTCCCCTGAGCCTCTGCCCTGACACACAGCGCCTGCGGACGCTTGGGCGCTGGCCAGATGAGCCCAGTGGCCTTGGTGGGCCACAAGCTGCGATCACAGTGCCCACCTGAGAACAGCCCACCTGGACACAGTAACCCCAGGGCACTGGCTTTGTGCCGCGTGGTGGGGGCGGCACGGAGGTTTCAGGATGCAGGGCCATGAGCAGGTATCTCGTATGTAGCTGTGCGTTGCTCGAGGCTCTGGTATGACAACTGGATTCAACATGAAGCCGCCTCCTGTCCTTTATGGTGCAGTTCTCCCATTTCTGACTGGGGTCCAGTTGGAGGTGGTCTGCGTCTTTGCCCTTTGCACTGCTGTGCCATCAAGACCTTGACAGGCCAGGCCGGGCCGTGTCTTTGTGGGGAGTGTGTGGCTCATCTCGGCTTGAGGGGCACATGGGGTTCACTGCGATGGAGGCATCGAGGCGCCCACTGACTGCGTTTGGATGGATGCCCCACTGAACCAGAGTAAGAACCTGCCCTGGCATGATAGCCCCCGACGAGGACGTTCTCTGACACCCCAGGGGCTGCTCCCCCTGCCCCGGGGCGTCTGCCTGTCCAGCTGCCTCGGTGGATGTGGTCAGACCTGGCTGAGTTTGGGGGTGCACCCCACTCTCCTTCAGGGGCCCCCTACACTTCCCGAAATGGCCATGAAATGGCTGCCCTGTGGGGCGTGGGTGCCCATGTAGCAGGCCCAGCAGGAGCACCTGGTCCCTTTTCCAGGTACCGTCCTAGTCTCACCCTGGCAGGGACAGACACCTGCCAGCCGGAAAGAGCTCTGAGCTCCTGTTTCCAGAGTCGCCTTTTGTGTGAGCTGGAGCACAGCAGAGACATTGGAAATACAGGCAGTTTATGAAGGTGGACAGTTAGTGGTGGCCTTGAGGCTGACCTTGAACTTGTGTGGCTTTTATCTCAGGCATGGTGGGGTGAGCCGGGCACTCCTAGGCACTTTCTGCAGAAAGCGCGGCGTGGTGGGGCCGCTGGCCCAAGGACAAGCTCTCTGGGCCTGTCCAGAGCTCGTTCCGAATCCCTGCGAGCTCCATCCCCTCTGAGGGGGGCTGGGGCACCAGGCTGGGGGACGTCCAGTTTACCTAGCACCTTTATGAGAGCAAGAACATTTACTCACCCCCGTCCACTCCCGGCCCCCACTCCCCAAGTGCCCCCCAAGGTCAGGCCTGCTCCCAGCGCTGAGCCCAGAAGTTGGGAGGTGGGTGCCAGGCCTGGTCCCGCTTCTGCCATGCCCCTGCCTGGGGATCCTGCTGGGGCCCCGGAAGAGGGTGGTGACCAGGAGGGGGGCCTGGGCCTCCTGGAGCTGGTGAGCGGACTCCACTCCCAGGCCCGGGGTAGGGCTCTGAGCAGCGGCCTTGGTTCCAACCTGGAGCAGGCTGGTCTTGTCCCCCTGTACACAAGGGAGGAGGGGGTCCATGCAGCCCCCCACCTCTCTCCCTGGGAGCTCCCCCAGGGCTGTCAGCCAACCAACCTCCCCTACACCTGTCCTCTTCTCTCCAGGGATGCAGCCAGGAAGGCAGGCTCCCTTCATCTCTGCCAACCTCAGTTAGAAAGGAGAGCTCTTCACAACAGCCCACGACTGCACCCAACGCCCCCAAATGTGATCCTGGGCTCTCAGGGGATGCTTCTCTCTCTCCTCACTAACCCAGGAGCCAGGAGCAGCTCTGGCCATTCCTCAGGGCTCAGTGGCCACCCGCCATCCTGTGCACTCCAGGGTGCTCTCCAAGGGTGTGTGAGCCCACCCAGAGCCCCCCGGCTGTCAAGACTCAGGACACCCCCACTCCTCTGAGCAGCTCTGGGAGGCTTACCTGTGGAGCAGTGGCCAGACACCAGGACACTGACACGGAGCACAGGTGGGATCCAGGGGATGGGGGTGGGCGGGGGCCTGGTTGTCACCGGATGAAATTTCAGCTTCTCAGCCCTGCTGCCAGGTGGGCAGGAGTTGCAGGCTGTACAGCCCTCTGGGGTCGGGAGCCTGAAGCCTGGAGCCTGGGAGGGGAGACCCTCCTCTCTCGGGGTCCCTCCTCTCTGCTGACCACCCACAGGCCTGGCCCCTGTCCCCAGCTGGTTTCTTGCCCTGAGCTTCCTGCAGGCCTGGCAGCCCACAGGCTGACACGGGGGCCACACCCATCCCACACATAATCCCTGCATCAATAATGCAGCTGGGGAGCAGCGTGCCCTCTGTTCCCCTCACCCACTGCCCGTTTGTCTTTTAATCTCAATTTCAGCGGCTGTGGTTTGCCAAGGGCCTCCTCTGCCTCCAGGGGCACTGTTGTGGGGGAAGCTCCCATTGAGGAAGGAACAGGTGTGTGATATTTATGCCCCAGGTGGATGGAGATGGGGCTTCCCTAAACTAACAGCTCCTGCCTGTGGGACTCCCGCCCCCTCCTGCCCATCTCCCAGCACCCTGGGTATTCAGCCCAGCCATACTGGCCCCCTTGTGCCCGTCCTGCCCTGTCCCCCGACAAGCCTGTTCCTGCCCCAGGGCCTTTGCACTGCCAACCCCTATTCTCCACACTTCCTCCCTCACTTCCTTCTCTGACCCCTCTTAACTAAAGTAGCTCCCGTTCCTCTCTGCTCCCTTGCCTGCTTCACTGCCAGCTCTGTCCACTTGTCTGTTGTCAGCTTTTCTTGTTGAAATGCTGGTTCCAGGGGGGCAGGGCTGGGCTGCCACTGCTT